TTCCTGCTGTTCCTGTTAGTGCTTCAGGAGGAAGCCTTCTACTCCCCACCCCCATACATCCTCAGTTCATCTTTCTCCTGAGGCCCCACCTGTGCCCCTGATCACTGTAGGAGCTATGTAGGATCACTGTGGAGCCATGCAAGGTTCTTGGTTGGAGTGCAGGCTCTCCATCACTGCCTACGCAGACTAGAGCCCTGGTCACGATTGCTGGCTCTGTCTGTACTCCGCTCCCATCCCACTCAAGTTACTCTTCTGCTGGTCCCGGCCCTGCTGCTTCTGCCTGAGCTGCTCTGCTGAGCTCCTCCATGGCCATCCCCCATCCTACAGGAGGCTTGCACCAAGGCTCGGGCCTGGCTGAGGAGCCTGGATCATGAGGACACAACACCAAGCACTGTCCCTGATAAGCACCAACCTGTACCTGTCTTGGTGTGACCCAGCCGAGGAGGCTTTGCACAGTCACCATAGGAGATGCCCCTTCCACAGAAGGTCATTTCCCTCCCTGTGCCTGGTCCTGCTGCCGTCCATGTTCAGTGACTGATGGGCCAGCTGTGCTGTGCCCTCTGACCCCTACCCCCATCCCCATCCTTCCACCCTGTGATAACTGGCTTAGGGGTTCAATCCCCCATGCCCAACTCTCCAAGAGGAACTTGTGGCCTCCATCATGTGACACGTGTAGCAAACATGCTCAGCATGTGAGACAGTTCCAGCTACCCCATAACTTGTCCTCTCAGTGACCCTGTGGGCATCCAATTACTTCCCCCATCTCACAAATTGGGAAACCAAGGTGCAGAAGGTTTGGCTGCATGTCTAAAGTCAGTGGGTCCTGACTTCTGCACTGTGAATGGACGGGCCCTGCCGACTTCTGTCCTGGGACATGGCCTTGGGCCCCATTTTGCAGATGGAGAAGCAGAGACCCAAGGAGCTGGGCACGGCCACAGCTGGCTGGAGGCAGAGTCAGGTCCTTTGCACATGCCAGGGCCTTCCACGGATTTGCCTTGGGAATGGAGGAGTGAGGGCTTCCTGGCGAAGCAGGACTGTGAGTTGTGGAGGGGTCAGCAGCATCTGCCCAGTGGGACCCCCCACTAGGAAAAGTCTTTCTGTCCCATTGGACCCTGGCCTTGCTTTCCTAGTGGACTCTGCACATGTCAGGCCCTGCACAGGCCCAGGAGTAAGTGACAAAGATGTCCCAGCAGAAGTCATGTTGGTTGTCATCTCCCCTGTCCTGGCTAGGAGCCAGGAAAAGGCTTATTTCCTGCTGTGGTGGCATATGGGCCACCAGGAGCTGCTGGAAGAAAGCAAGGTGTTTGGCCACAAAGTGAGGTGGTGGGTACTGGGTCAGGAGCAGCAGCCCCATGCTCCAGCGTGGAGTGGCAGGCTTGGACAGAAGGACACCTGGCTCCAGAGCCAGGGCATGGAGTTGTCACATGGGCAGACAACCCAGAGGTTGCTAATCATCCAAATTCCTCGCTTACTAATTCTGCTTTCCACCCAGCCCTGGTATACAGCTCAGTCTGGTTTTCTACCGCTTTACAGCAAGGACAGCCTTTCCACTGTTTCTTGTTCCCTCCTAAGGCCTTACTGGGAGCACTTCTAACTAACATTCATACCTCTTCTAGTGTTATTTTGTGATGGTATATGCATTCCCTGAGGCAGCTGAAGATTTCTCTGTGACTCTTCTCTGAGCCTCACCAGAGTCACCTGAAACAATTACATTTCTACCAATAGTCTCAAGGCAGTCTGGCCTTTTCCTGTCCTCCTCAAAGCTCTTCCAGCTTCTGGCCATCCCCACCTCCACGGCCACTTCCACGGCCACTTCCACACATTCGGGTATTTGTTACAGCAGTGTCTTTTTCCTGGTATTAAACCTATATTTGTATATTTGTTTTTTTGGGCCACCATAATAGATTGCCACAAACTACCGGCTTAAAACCACAGAATTTTATTCTCTAAGATTTTCTGTATCTGAAATGAAGGTGCTGGCAGGACCGTGTTCCATGTGGAGCCTCTCCAGCTTTTGCGTGCCGGCAACCCTCAGTGTTCCTTGTGTTCACATTGCTCCAGTCTCTGCCTCTGTCTTCACCTTCTCCCTGTGCAGACTCCACAGCTCTGACGGGGCTGGGGCATCCCTCCCACCTCCACCCTGGCCTTACATGGGGCCACAGGCCTTTCCTGGGGCTTGGGCTATGGCCTCCTGGCTAAACATCTTGTCCTTTCCTCTGAGGGAAAATACTGACCAGCTTTGGAGCACTCCTGTGCAGGGCGGTGCTCCCTCCCTGTGCCTTAGTTCCAGCTGTGCCGTGATGGGGCTTCTGCAACATGGGGTACTGGCTGCATTCCAGACTCCCAGACCTGACTTCAGTACAACACCCCTCCTCACTTACTCAGGGCCTCACTCAGCAGCAGCTGACACCAGTTGGCAATGTGTGTGCTGTGCGTGGGCGACTATACACGTGCCTCAGTGAACAAGACAGAGCCTAGAGCAGCACCTAGCACCGTTGGTACTCAGTAGTGAAGGAGTGGGGGATGCCCCTCGGGGCGGTCGAGCACCAAATGTAGTGCCAGTATGGAGACAGCGCCAGTGAAAGGTTTTCTGAGCCACACAGAGAGGCCACATGTTGTCCAGGTCCGTTTCTGTGAACATCAAGAAAAGGCAAATCCACAGACTGAAAGCAGATTGGTGGTTGCTAATTGGTGTGTGGTTTCTTTTTAGGGTGATGAAAATGTTCCAGAACAGGTAATGGTGCACAACTCTGAATAAGCTATAACCACTGAATTGTACACTTTCAGTGGGTGAACTTCATGGTATATGAATCATATCTCAATAAAAAAAACAAAGACGATTCCTATGCAGGAAGACTGTGCAAGGGTTCAGCTCAGCAGAGGTTTCTGGTGCAGCCTGGGCACATAGGTTCTGGGGTGCAGAGGGCTTCGGCCTAGGCAATCAGGCTGGCCCGTGGTCTTATCTCTTTCTGTCTTCTTTCTGTCCACCTCAGGACCACTTGTTTTATTGAGGGGAGTTGTTAAATTTTAAATAGAGCCCGTTTACATTGTTCGTGACCAACAGCTGCCCCTGCCCGCTGCCCCTGTCTCACCATCTTACCTCCTGTGTCCTCCCATACTGAGAGTGGGTAGGTGGTCTCAGCAGGTGCATCAGGCCAGAGTGGGCTGAACCACAACAGGTGGGGAGCAACCAGCTTTCCTTACACAAGGTGGATGCAGCAAGCATGGTTCTTGTATAGCAGTCATTGTGTTAGTGAGGACTCTCCAGAGAAGCAGACCAATAGGGGTGTGTGTGTATATATAGAGAGATTTATTGTAAGGAATTGGCTCACTCAGTTGTGGGAGCTGGCAGATCCAAAATCTGTGGGTTGTGCCAGCTGGCTGGAGACCCAGGGAAGAACTGATGTTGCAGCTTGAGTCTGAAAGCTGTCTTTTTTTTTTTCAACTGACTGGATAAGGCCCACCCACATTATGGCACGTGATCTGCTTTACTCAGTGGGTCTACTAATTTAAATGTTAATCTCATCTAAAAGATACCTGAATGGCGACATCTAGACTGGTGTTTGACCAAATATCTGGATGCCAGGACCTAGACAAGTTGACACTAAGATTAACCTTAACAGTCAGTTGGGTGGTTAACAAGGGAAATGGACAGAGTCGAGGTGTATGCAGAACTTTGTTAGGAAGCAAGTAAGTATATGTTTCTTCCCACTGCGACTCACACTGTTATTTTGTTTATTTTTGCCTAATAGGAGTTTTGCTTTCCGGGGGCCTTGCATTTCTCCAGTCAGTAACTTGGTGTCTGTTTTTTCTGGTGTTGACTCTTGGGTACCTCCTTGGGTCACTTATTGAGAAGACTGCATCAGTCCATTTACTGGAGATTTTGGTAGTGAGCATTTGTCAGGAGTGCTTGATACATATAATGACTCACTCCCCTCTCTGTTGCTTTCTTGAACTTTTTTTCTTATTAGTCCTATTTCATTTTACCAATCCAACATTGCTGTTCCGTGTGTACCTATATGGAATCTTAGTGTATGCACGGATGTGATCACAAGAAACCTCAGCACCAGCAGAGAGGCCAGTGTGCTGGGTGAGGAGGACAGAGTGAGCTGTGGGGCCCAGTGGGTGATGGTGCTTCTAGCCGAGGGTCCAGGTGGGGTGGTGTTGGCCTGGGGGGGGGGGTGTTAGATCTTTGCAGGCATGTGGGGGAAGTTGCTTGGAGCATTGGGAACAGGGATGCGGGGAGAGATGGAGTTTGTCTAGGGGATGATTCTGCCCCCATGGCACACTGGCCGTGTCTGGAGGCAGTTTCAGAGTTCACAACAGGGGTGGGGGCTGCATCCAGTAGGCAGGGCTCAGGTTGCTGCTAAGCATCCTACAGTATACAAGATGGCCCCAGAATGTGGGCCAAGGGACCCAGGTCCTGGCACACGGCACATAGTAGCAGCCAGTTGAGAATTCCCACCAGTCTTGATTGCAGTTAATGCCAGGTCTGCACTGGCCTCTCTCCGTGCATGATATTTGAATCCTAAAGGCACCTCGGAGGCAGGAACTCTTTTTTTAACAACTTTATTGAGGTAATTCATATCCCTTACAACTCACCCACTTAAAGTGTACAGTCAGTGGATTTTAGTATATTTACAGATTTATGCACCATCCCAAATCAATTCCAGAATATTACATCATTCCAAGAAGAAACCCCATTAGCAGTCACTCTCCATCCCATCTTCTCCTTGCCCCCCAGTGACCACCCATCTGCTTTCTATCTCTGTGGATTTGCCTATTCTGGACATTTCATGTAAGTGGAATCATACAATACAATACATGACCACTAACACCTCTTCTTTTACTCATGTTGTTTTCAAGATTTATTTGTGTTACAGCATGTTATTTCATTAGTTGGTGGACATTTGAGTTGTTTCCACCTTTGCTATTGTGAATAGTGTCTGAACATTTGTGCATAAGATTTTGGTGGACATGTGTTTTCCTTTCTCTCGAGTGCATGCCGAGGAGGGGCATTGATGGGTCAGATGTTAACTCTGTGCTGAACTGTTCGAGTAGCTGCAGACTGTTTCCACAGCACTGCACCATTGTACATGCTACCAGCAGCATGTGACCGAGGAACTACTTTGAACCCCATTTTACAGATGAAGAAACCAAGGGTCAGAGCAGGCTGAGATCCTGCATTGTTCACTGCCATACCTCACAGCCCAGGGCCCCAGCTCCTTGCCACGTGGCCACATCGGGCACCATAGCAGGCCTGGGATTCCAAGTCCCAGCTGTATGGCCACTATGGTGGGCCTGGCTGCACTGAGCTCCTTCTGCCCTAGGGGTGGTGAGACCAGCTAGGGCAGGCTGCTCACACCTGCCTTCCTCCTGGCAGATCAACCAAAATGTAGAGATTCAGCGTGGCCGCCTGCGGGATGACATCAAGGAGTACAAGTTCCGGGAGGCCCGCTTGCTGCAGGACTACTCGGAGTTGGAGGAGGAGAACATCAGTCTGCAAAAGCAGGTGTCTGTGCTCAGGCAGAACCAGGCAAGTATCTGGGCTGGGTAGGTGGGACAGGTAGGTTGGCTCTGGGCCACAGCCCTGGCCTAACCCTCACTTTCACTTGGCAACATTTTAAGTCACCTGACAAATTGGCAGTGTGGATGTGTTCTGATTTCCGTGGCATCTCTGGTGATGAGCAAGTCTCATGCTTCTGCACTGTTCATACCACGTGCACGTGTGTCCCAGGCGTGGGCTGACCATTTCCTGTGTGCACCTCATGCCTGTAACCCTCTAAGCATCCATGTCTTCCCAGCTGTGTAGTCAGCACAATGGTGCTTCTTCCCCGTTCCTCAGGCATAGAAGAGTGTTGACCTCTTTCACAGGTGGAGTTTGAGGGCCTCAAGCATGAGATCAAGCGTCTGGAGGAGGAGACCGAATATCTCAACAGCCAGCTGGAGGACGCCATTCGGCTCAAGGAGATCTCGGAGCGGCAGCTGGAGGAGGCGCTGGAGACGCTGAAGACAGAGCGGGAGCAGAAGAACAGTCTGCGCAAGGAGCTGTCGCACTACATGAGCATCAATGACTCCCTCTACACCAGCCACCTGCACGTCTCCCTGGACGGCCTTAAGCTCGGTGATGATGCCGAAGCCCTGGCCAATGGCTTCGAGCACGGTGGCCTGGCCAAGCTGCCGCTGGACAACAAGACCTCCACGCCCACCAAGGACGGCCTTGCTCCACCTTCCCCCAGCCTCGTTTCTGACCTCCTCAGTGAGCTCAACATCTCTGAGATCCAGAAGCTTAAGCAGCAGCTAATGCAGGTGAGCGGGTGGGTAGCCCCACCCCACCCGGGTCTTGTCACAGCCCCGGGCCTTGGGCCCACGTGCACCATTCCCACCTCCACTCCTGTCCCCCATGGTGTTGGCCAGACCTGCTCGTCACCAGGACAGCGCTTTCCTGACACTTTTTCAATGCTACGCACCTTCTTTTACTTACATTTCTTTTACATAGGTAATTCTGTATTGTTAACCTAAGTGGAATTGCAGCATTATAGGTGGAAGGTGCCCAGAGAATTAGGTTTCTGGTTACAAGTTTGGGCACCACCAGAGGTTTTCTTATGTCCCTCTGAGGTCCCTGTGTGTAGTTTCCCATGCTGTGTCCTGTAGACACGTCACATCAGGGTTTCCTGCCTCGACTGAACAGAATCCCAGGGTCTGCACCACAGCCTCTTGGTTCACTGCATGTCCCTGAGGAGGGACTCACCAAGCCCCGCAAGCATCTGGGCAGGGGGAAGAGCCATCATAGCCCCACACATGACACCTCCACCCGAATTTATCACAGAGAGGCTAGCAGGGTGATGGTCATGGCATGGATGGGGTCACTCCTGGGACTGTCCAGGGGTCTTCTGAGTGCAAGTACTCCTGTGGGCTGTTGACGGGCCCTTTCTGTGCCTTCGCAGATGGAGCGGGAGAAAGTGGGCCTGCTGGCAACGCTGCAGGACACACAGAAGCAGCTGGAGCAGGCCCGAGGGGCCCTGTCAGAGCAGCACGAGGAGGTGAGCCGCCTCACAGAGAATCTGAGTGCTCTGCGGCGCCTGCAGGCCAGCAAGGAGCGGCGGACGGCCCTGGACAGTGAGAAGGAGCGAGACAGCCATGAGGATGGTGACTACTATGAGGTGGACATCAATGGGCCTGAGATCCTGGCTTGCAAGTACCGTGTGGCCCTGGCAGAGGCTGGTGAGCTTCGGGAGCAGCTGAAGGCGCTGCGCAGTGCACACGAGGCCAGCGAGGCCCAGCACACCGAGGAGAAGGGCCGGCACGAGGCCGAAAGCCAGGCGCTCACTGAGAAGGTCTCCCTGTTGGAGAAGGCAAGCCGCCAGGACCGCGAGCTCCTGTCCCGGCTGCAGATGGAGCTGAAGAAGGTGAGCGACGTCGCAGGCGAGACACAAGGCAGCCTGAGCGTGGCCCAGGATGAGCTGGTGACCTTCAGTGAGGAGCTGGCCAACCTCTACCACCACGTGTGCATGTGCAACAACGAGACGCCCACCCGTGTGGTGCTGGACTACTACCGAGAGGGCCCGGCTGGCGCCGGCAGCTGCAGCCCTGAGGCCCGTGGGCGTCGCTCACCTGTCCTGCCCAAGGGGACGCCTGCCGCAGAGGGTAGAGCCAGGGACAGCAGCCCCTCACCTGGCTCCTCACTGCCCTCACCCCTGAGTGACCCACGCCGGGAGCCCATGAACATCTACAACCTGATCGCCATCATCCGTGACCAGATCAGGCACCTGCAGGCAGCCGTGGACCGCACCACAGAGCTGTCACGGCAGCGCCTGGCCTCACAGGAGCTGGGCCCAGCTGCGGACAAGGACCGGGAGGCACTCATGGAGGAGATCCTGAAGCTGAAGTCGCTGCTCAGCACCAAGCGGGAGCAGATCACCACGCTGCGCACGGTGCTCAAGGCCAACAAGCAGGTGTGCATGGCGCTCGGGTCCATCAGAGGTGGGCACGTGGGCGGGGTTTTCTCACCCTCCCTGGCCTCCTGTCCCATGCTGTTCCTGCTACTGAAGGAAAGATGTGAGAAAACCTCACCTCAGTGCTGTGGGGAGGGGCTGAGGCCTTTGAGAGGGCTGGCTGGGGCCTTGGTCTGTGGCACTGAGGCAGCAGACCGCTCCTGACGCCCCTCACCTGCCCGTCTTTTGCATCTCTGACCCCCTAGACGGCAGAGGTGGCCCTCGCCAACCTAAAGAGCAAGTACGAGAACGAGAAGGCCATGGTGACCGAGACCATGATGAAGCTGCGCAACGAGCTCAAGGCCCTCAAGGAGGACGCGGCCACCTTCTCCTCACTGCGTGCCATGTTCGCCACCAGGTAACGCTTACTGTTCCTTTCGCTTCTCAGCAGCCTGGCGGCCCAGTTTTGTCTCCACTTTATACCTAAGATGAGAAAGTTGGAAGCAGAAAGCTAAAAGAGTGGGTCCTTATGGCCAGGCTGGAGGCATGAGCTTCGAAGGAGAAACAGGCAAGTGGGCAAGCCAGTGATAACAAATGAGTTTGCCCCCAGAACTTGGTGGGAAGTTTGTGTATTTAGAAGGAAGGTTTCCCTCCCAGCAGGGGCGGGGTCCCAGTGCTGCCCCTCTGACCCTACCAGTTAGAGTTTGTGGGGGTGGCGGGCGGCGTCTTTCTTTAGGCCAGTCCTGTGGTCAGGAAGCCGGGCAGGTGCAGAGCTGGAGGCTGCTTTTGGGGCCTGCTTCTGGGTGTTTCCCTGTTCAGAGACGCATGGTGCCATCTGCTGGCCAGTGTCAGTCAGGGTTGGGAGGCTGAGGCTCTAGGTTAAACAGGATTGAAACTGAGCTCAGGGCCTACTTTGCCTTGTGCCAGGGTGCTTGGCACTCCCTGCATTTCAGCGATGTGGGAGGAGGGGGCAAAAACAAAGAAAGAAGCTTCCAGGCCTCTCTGGAAGCTTTCTTTCCTCCTGGGAAAAGTGCTTGGGAAAGATCTCACAGTTAGTCCTCAGCACATAGTATGTTGACCCTTGCTTCCTCAACTTGTTTTATTTAAAAGCCTGACTTCTCAGATGGTGCCAAGATCACAAACCTCGGGGCCAGGGTTAAAACTTGCTAATGGTCCTTGGCCTTGGTGGATGGGGGTGTAGGGTGGGTGTGCCCACCATCCCCTTCAGCCAGGCCGCACTCCCTCCCTCAGGGACAGACCCAGGATGGGCTTTTCTCTCCCAGCTCCTTACCTAGGTGGGGAGCATGTGCTACAGCTCAGCAGATACTAAAATAGGGCTGTTTATGACATCCACATGTGTTTTTCCCAGGCTCTGGTTTGTTCTAGACTTACTAAGCACCTACTGTGTGCCTGGGCTATTCCGGGAGCAAGCCAATTCCTGCCCTTGGGTTTATCCCCACATCCTGAGAGCCAAGTGATGTCACACCTCCAGCCCGCTGCCCCTGAGCCACCTGGAGGCCTTGAAGGGCAGCCACCACCTCCTTTAGTGAAAACTGGCTTCAGAGAGCCCCTCCCAGAGAAAGCCAAACCTCAGAGGGGCACATCCTCTTCGTTTCTAGCCCAGTGAGCAGATGGGGTCTGCTCACCTTCTGGAGCCCTCAGTATGGGAGCCGTGATCACACACGCCACTGGCTCTCCCAGGTCCTTCAGCCACACTCTCGCCTCTTGCATCCCCGCAGGTGTGACGAGTACATCACACAGTTGGATGAGATGCAGCGGCAGCTGGCAGCTGCTGAGGATGAGAAGAAGACACTCAACTCGCTGCTGCGCATGGCCATCCAGCAGAAGCTGGCGCTGACCCAGCGGCTGGAGCTGCTTGAGCTGGACCATGAGCAGACCCGGCGAAGCCGCGCCAAGGCCACCCCCAAGGCCAAGCCTGGTACCCCGAGCGTAAGTCACACCTGCGCCTGCGCTAGTGACAGGGCTGAGGGTGCTGGGCTTGCTGCCCAGGTACTCTGTGGCGAGAAATATAATGTTTACTGCGATTAGGGCCGCAAGGGTACACGCTGCAGCTAACCTGCCGCATATCACCTGTCCGCTTCACCTCAACTAACCTGGCAGCAGCGGGACCATGGTGCTAGGCTGGTCTTAACTGTGACTAATGCACAGAGGGAAGAATTTAGCAGAGGCAGCCTGCTGCTCCACCTGGACACTGCAAGCTTTGTGTCTGTTTCTCACCCCTCGGGACCACCCTTCACAGCAGCTGCTCTCTTGGAGGGGTGGTCAAGGTGGGGTTGGAGCCATGTGTCCTCACAAAAATGTGGCTTCCCAGGGCCCGCGTGCCATTGGCTGTCACTGGGAGGGGCAGAACTTGCATTGAAACTTGCATGTTCCCTGCATGTGTCTAATGCAGTTGTACTGTCCCGGCACCCAGAAACCAGTGTTAGAGGTTCCAGCCTGAATCCCAGGTGCGGCCTCGGAGGGCACTCTGTGCTTGGTACAGATTATGGAGACAATTATTTTGTAGTTTTTGCGGCATCTCGTTACAGTTTATATTTGGGACAGAATTACAGAATTCCTTCCCCTAAACCCAGAGGAAGAGCAGCCCTGTGGCCCATGTCCTCCAGCCCAGGCGTACACGTGCTCAAGAGGCACAGGCATACCTAACCACACCCAAGACCAGAGCTCAGCAGCCTCAGCTTCTCTTTCTGAGATTTGTACACTTGTCTGGTGGCCTGCAAGGTGACAAATCAGTAGGCCAAAGGCTTGGGTTTTTTCTAATGAGAAAAACTTCCCAAGTGCCTGGCCAGACCTCTGTCCTCACAGGAAGCCCATCCTTTTGTACTTAGAGTGTCCCCAGCTTCCAGTTGGATTTTTTTCACTCTCTGCCCATTATCAGGCCTTCCTCTCAGGGGGCTTCAGACTACAAGAAACAGGGCTGTGGAAACCCCCAACCTGAGCTTGAGTTACCAGCGGGCCAGGCTGAAATGAGGGACTGGGTCCCACACCTATTAACTGAAGCCCGGCCTGGTGTGGGAAGGGAACCTTGAATGGACCCAGGGCTAGTTTCAGGATTCACGGTAGGAGGAATATGGTTCTTGATCATCAGTGCAATTCCAGAGGTGGTGACAGGCAGGAAAGGCAGCCATAGTACTCCCCCATGCTCAGAAGCTGCACCCACACCAAGAGCTTTGGCAGCCGAACTTCTCTCAGTGTTTCTCTCCATGTCATCCATGGGGCCCACCAGCCATGAAGGTGCAGTCTCCCTGAATAGCTCTTTGCCTCCTCTCTGTGGGGCCCAGAGGGGGAATTTTCATTGTCCCTGCACACAGGTATCTGCCCCCATTCCACTCTTT